GCCACAATGTCTATGTTCTACCTTCAGTTGTAATCACAGGTGGGAAGAATACTGCTGCACTTAGGTCCTACTTGCTGGTTTCCCACAGGCATCTGACTGCCCACTGCAAGAACAGGATGCTGGACCACTTGGGACATTGGCCTGAACTGACAGTTTTTCTTATATACCTTAACTCCCCAATGAGGGTAACATTAGGGCAGACTGAGATCAAGTTTCTTGTGGCACCATAAGCCAATTAGCCTCTAATGTGCCCAGCACTTTTCCATCAATGCCCTTTTGACTTCTTTGACTAATTCTAGATTCAAGAAGGTGAAAGCAACCTCTAACTTTTTTCCATTACTTGTGTTTTTAATTATATAATATTGATGTACAGGCCAGATTACCGTCACAATCAGCTTTTGTTTTCAGTTTCTTAGCTGCTATGTGATATGGTAGATCTGAGAGACAGACCCAAATAACAATGGCATTAACGAGACCCTGGGAGTTTTCCACCCTTCCATAAGGACTTTGAAATTTGAGTCTCTAAATAATACACATGGTTTGATTGCTTTGCCCCACCTCAATCTGGCAAAAGATGAAAATATTTGCTTTCTGAGTAATTTGCCCTTAATAACTTTGAAGCAGTGTAACAAACAGCACTAGCATTGTTAGAAGTTCACTGGCAGAAAGCTTGCCCCTTTCTTTGTCTTAGATATCTATGTAGATCACAACCATCTGCAAGTAGTTTTTGAAAGGAATGTGTGCTGATCAGTATTTGGCACCCTTCTAACGTAGTCCCGTGGACTTTGTTTCCTGCTTGCCTATCCATTTATATGCTCTTAAAAGTATGCCATGCATTTTGTCAATGTTCTTCATCCAGTGGAATTCTTCAAATAACATTTATTGCCAGGCAGAGATCTAGTCTGTAGGACATGTCTCTTTTAATATAATTAATCTGAAAACTGGAAGAATATCAAGTATCGAAACCTGTTGTTTCTATGATTCTCTCCTACCACTTTGGTTGTTTGGGACGTTGTTTGGGACGCGGGTGGCGCTGTGGGTAAAAGCCTCAGCACCTAGGGCTTGCCGATCGAAAGGTCGGCGGTTCGAATCCCCGTGGCGGGGTGCGCTCCCGTTGTTCGGTCCCAGCGCCTGCCAACCTAGCAGTTCGAAAGCACCCCCGGGTGCAAGTAGATAAATAGGGACTGCTTACTAGCGGGAAGGTAAACGGCGTTTCCGTGTGCGGCTCTGGCTTGCCAGAGCAGCGATGTCACACTGGCCACGTAACCCGGAAGTGTCTCCGGACAGCGCTGGCCCCCGGCCTCTTGAGTGAGATGGGCGCACAACCCTAGAGTCTGTCAAGACTGGCCCGTACGGGCAGGGGTACCTTTACCTTTTACCACTTTGGTGCTCCTTTCTGTCCACCTCCCAGCTTTGAGTCTAAAGTAAATGGAATTTGGGGAGTTGCAACCGCACATTGGATTTTAAATTTCACAGTATTGACAGCTACCATAAATTTTTAGAAACCTTATTCATTAGACATGGAATGTGAGAGGGCAGATATGTGTGAACAGGAAACAACACTGAGGAGGTTAACCTTTTATATTTATAGAGCATGCTTCAAGTCTCTGGGTTTGCCAACTGCTGTCTTTTATGACATTAAAAACATAGGACAGCGTTAAATAAAACAAACAAAATAGGCAGAGTTGATCTGTACATACAGTGAACTCTGCCACAAAGCTAGGCTTGAATTTTGCTGAACAGGAGGCAGCTCTGTTCTGTATTTGATGGAATGTCATGGGGATATTGTGCTAAGAGTTTGATATTTCCCTTTTCATATGAAGTTGCATACATAAATGTTGATGTCGCAGATGTTTTAAAAAATGAGAGGCAACTATCTGCAACTATGGGAGTTTCTAAACAAGTCTGTTCATTTTTACAGCTTCCTCTGTTAGTCAAGCACTCTGAGACTTTTGCAGCAGAAGGAAGGTGTGGTGCAGTGACAACTCTTCCAGCTCTCACCCGCCCATAGCAAAGAAATTTGTCGGGAGGGAATCCCACTGCCCCAGTCACACTGCATCCACCAGGCCTGTGCATTGTTGGTCTATCTGTCTGATTTGTTTTGTTGCCTTTGTGACCTTCTGTGAGTACTTGAAAGCTGCTTCACCCACCTCTCAACAAATGCCCCATCATGTTCTCCTAATCATATTAAGAAATCCTAAAACAGGTATTAGGCTGGGGTTAGGGTGGAATTGCTTCAGATGTCCATAACCTGTCACATCAGTATTGAATATGGCATGCCTGGCATCTTATCAGGCAAGGAAATAGTAAGAAGTTGGGTTTTTTCAAACTTTGGAGTCTTCAGACTATCAGTATTATGAGAGAACTTGAAGTGTATATCAGGATGTTAAAGGTAAAGGGACCCCTGACCATTTGGTCCAGTCGTGGCTGACTCTGGGGTTGCGGCGCTCATCTCGCTTTACTGCCAGAGGGAGCTGGCGTACAGCTTCCGGGTCATGTGGCCAGCATGACTAAGCTGCTTCTGGCGAACCAGAGCAGCGCACAGAAACGCCGTTTACCTTCCCGCTGGAGCGGTACCTATTTATCTACTTTCACTTTGACATGCTTTTGAACTGCTAGGTTGGCAGGAGCAGGGACCGAGCAACGGGAGCTCACCCCGTCGTGGGGATTCAAACCACCGACCTTCTGATTGGCAAGTCCTAGGCTCTGTGGTTTAACCTACAGCACCACCCACGTCAGGATGTTAGACCAGCATATTTAAAGTGGATTAAAGCAGTCTGTTGCTTTGGTGCTAAAAATCCATCTTTTTACAGTTTGGAAAAGGAAATACACTGAAAATGTGGGATGAATGAATTATTAATGGATTGACATGTAGACACTTAACAAACGAATCAGGATGGCCATTAATTGTCATATAACCACCCTGTAAATTTCAGAATGAATACACATTAAGGCTGGACATAGTCTAACCACCACATAAGCTTTCTACAAGCAAATCAGGATTAAAGCTTAACCGATAGTCTGGAGGAGTCCCATGAGCTTGTTGAATTTGACTGAGGATTACTATTAATGTATCTAAATTTTGAGACCTATTGGAGATCTCAATACATGAAATCTGTTCAACTTCATATCTCAAAGCTTCCTTTGTCACACAAGTTGAATTTTATTACAATAACAAGCTATGCAATTGACACTTCCCTCCATAAATTGGCAGTAAATATAAATAATAAAATATTGCAGTAACCAAAAGGCTGGACAACTTGGGAAAAAGAGAAGCACAGAGCCATTCTAAATTAACTTGACATAATTAACACGAGCACGAATTCCCCGTAGGTCAGTAATCCTAAAGGGTGAAAAACACAGTTATCCGATTATAAATCCTGGCAGCTGTGAAGGGTAACAAATCAATAGGGCAATAAAGATGTTGGATCATTGACAACTGGTTACTGAATATCGTTTGTTTCTTTAAAAAAAATTGATAAAGGAGAAACAATTTTGTACAAAATCAGTAAGTATTTGAAAATATTTTTCAAAATGACTAAAACCGTAACAGTTACCTTTGGTACACTTTAGTTTCATTGCATGTGCTTTTGGTATATTCAGTGGGTTGAAACCAGATTTAGGCCTTATTCACCCAAGAACAGTAAACTGTGGTCAGAAACAAACCATGGCTTATGGTGAATGAGCAGCGTGTTAGTGCATGCTGCACAGTCATGCTTCCTTCACTCCCCCATTTGCAGGGAGCGGGGGACAAAACCATAGTGTGGATGACTAGCTTTCATGGTTTGTTTTTCCATACAAACTACAAAGTGCTAAACCAAAAGCAAACAATGGCTTCCATTCATTATAGGTTCAGAAAGAAACAGAATACGAGTGTTGGTTCATACGTAATGCTAACTCAGCCTCTCCATGCTTTGCTTATTGCCTCTGGAAAGGGAGAAGCAAAGTGTTCAAGATTGAGTAGCATGCGCCAACCAGCATGGTGCTTCTCCTTTGTAGCAGTTGTTGTTGCTGCTGTTAATCTTATTTGTACCCCACCCATGGGATACAAGGCTGCCTTCAGATAACTTCTAAAGGTTGTATAGTTACTTATCTCATTTACGTTTGATGGGAGGACATTCCACAGAGCAGGTGCCACTACTGAGAAGGCGCTCTGCCTGGTTCCCATAGTTTGTTTCAGTGTATGGCTTACTGCTGCATGCAAACTAGACATGCTTGCCATAGACCACCTGAAATAAATGGGACACCACTAATGTATGCCATCTTGATATCAGTTGGTCTCCACAGTGCAATCCCAACTATGTCTACACAGTAAAGTCCTGTTGAATTCATGGAGGTTTACTCCCAGGAAAGTGTGGTTAGGATTGTAGCCTAAATCTGGACCCAAGCATATGTCTACTTTTCCGGTGATAAATATAATTGTGTTTGTATTCTTGGCAAAGCTCCAATTGGCTGTGTGAGGCCTGCTTCTAAGATTTGTACTTTAGAGAGCATGGCTGCTTGAGCAAAAGGGTAGTGGCTCAAAGTGCCTAAAGGATACTCAAATGTTGTAATTCTGCAAAATTACCAAAGGAATTCTATGAGGCTATGACTCATTCACCTAATGCAGATCCAGAATGAACAAATATGCCATAGTTGCATATTTATTAAGTACCATATGATGATCTTTTTTAAAAAAAACAAAGCACCATTAAAATATCTAGTGGCATTTGTGTGTTAAATACAAAATAATTGGCATTTTGAATTAATCATTTCATGTGAAAGTTTTTCTCCTCCCCCAATGCCCCCCCCTCCTGGAAAGTACCAGGGTGTTAGCATGCAGCATTCTGAACTGTAGTGCTTTGGGCAAGCACCAAGGGATAATGTGAACAGTAGAAGGGTAGGGGGGGAAATCAAAACATTCAAAGGCATGCAGCTGGGTAATTCAATAACCCTTGTATGCAGAGGCATTTCACACAGTAGGACTTTAACTCTGCACTAGTCAGGCTGCCTGTATGTCGCTTTCCCCCTCCCCATTCAATTTACATGCATAGCTGGCCTAGTAGGTGTAAAAATAGACAGGCAGCGCCTGAATTGGAAATGGTCACTGAATGCTGTCTGCAGTTGCTGAGGTTTCCTTTTGACACAGGGCAGCCTGCAGAAAGAAAACTCTGGCGAGGGGAGTTGAGTGGAGCAAAGCACGGGATCAGTAACTATCCTTCTGGATTGTTTACTCTGCCCCTTTGGAGTGTTTAGGACACTTCAAAGTCAAACCCACTTGCAGGAGTGAGCGGGGAGGACTGATATGGGCAATGCACCCGTTTGCCAGGCTTGCCACACGGACAAGGGTGTGAGAGTGCAAGGAAACATACAAGATGTGGATAAAATTCCAGACTACTATGGATGCAACAACGAAGAGGCTAAATATCCTGAGACACTGGTAAGTCTAAAGAGGCGACAAAGGGGGATAAATAGGCCTTTGTGACTGAAGAAGAAGACCTCTTAGCAAGAGAACTCTTTGAACCTGCTTGGTAGATACTGGCAATGCTGAGCAGTGAAATAGGGTCTGTGACTTTAAAAACTGCTGGTGGCTGGATTAAGATGGTCATTGTTGGGGATCTGTTGAAGAGCAAAGTAGCTCCTGGAATGTGTTTCCATGCATGTAAAATATAAGATTGTAAGTAGCAAAAAAAACCCTCAGGAGATAGAGCTCCTACTAAAATAAAGGAATGTATTTTATTATATTTTTGTAAGTAGACATTCCAAAGAGACTGTACTGATGTCTCATTTGAGAACATAAAATCAATAAATTGCATTTGATGGACTGTGCTATTCCGTTAAGTATATTTTCCATAGTTTAGGAGATACATAAAGGCTCAATTACAGAAAAAAGTTCATTACACAGGTCAATGTGATCTCTCATGTTGTCAATGTTTGCAGTTACTTAAGCCAAAGCACAGTTTTTCAAATATTTTATTCACTATATAAGTACTTAGCAGCCTAATCCCATGCATCTTTACTTGGAAGTAGGTATTGATGAGCTCAGCAGGACTTACTTTCAAGTAAGTGTGTACATAGGACTACAAGCTTAGTGAATTTAGCAGGAGGGGGAAATGCCGCAAATGTATAATTTTAAAAATTGCATTCACATTTCAAGGTTAATTGTGCTGGCTCACTGCACTATTCTCCAGATTCAGCCAGTTCTACACACTTTCACTTGAAAGTAGTTTCATGTTCATCACAGAAATAAAATGTTTGCAGTAAGAAGGGAAGTCAGATGCAATCTGAGTAGAAATCATATCACAAATGAAGACTATATATCACATATTTCATCAAATGTCAAAGCTGTTTAAGAAGATTTTCTTTGGCCCACGTGGCATGTTTGTAACCCCACCCACAGATCTTTGATATTCCACTTATCCTTGCTAGTTTCCTGTCAACAATTTAGCAAAAATAGTATTATTATTTTACATTTTCAATGTTAATATGGCATTCATTTTTAATTGGTAAAAGCTAGTTGCTTGAAATCCTTCCCTTATTTCAATCACAAGCAAAGCTATTTTGTAAATACTTTATTGGGGATTTTTCTACTGCATTTTTGCATCACTTTGCTTGCCTTGAGAATTAAGAACAGTTAGAAGTAGTTTCCCTTTGGAATTTAACTGAACAGTCAAGTTTACAGCAACAGTTGAGTTCAGCAAGAGAAATTGAGGGGGAGGGAATCTGTAGGAATCTTCCCCTTGCCTGAAACCCTGGAGAGCTGGTGCCAGTCATTTTGGAGAAAAGGGTCATGGCTCAGTGATAGAGCACATGGTTTGCAATCTCTGGCATCTCCAGGTAGGGCTATGAAAGAAACCATGAAGAGTCATTATTTGTCAGTGGACAAGTTTGAAATTTTCTGTTTGGAATTTCTGTACTAGTACAGTACAGAGCAGTGCAAACCATGATTTCCACAATTTATGGGAGTTAGTTGCAGTACAGTCTGTATGATTTTGCAGTATTTTAGGTTCAGTATCACTGAAATGGGTAATACAGTTTATGAGGTGAATAGGTTTGTCATTTGGAATAGAAGAAATGTTGTTGTGGTTGAAATTTCATGAGATGGAGTGGTGTGAATCCCGATTATTACATTTTATATGTGTTAGTGCAGTACAGCAGGTCTGTTTGACTTGGTTATATAATGTTGAAATGGGCTAATACAATTTAGTTGGTGCATAAGTTTCATTGGGAAGAAAAGGCAGTATGGTGATGGCTGAAAAGCTGTGAAATGTTGGTAACTTAGTCTATCCTCCCATTGTAGCAATATCTGCTTATCGAAGCTTCAAATAGCTAATCTTTGGGCTGCTGCAATTATGCACCTGTCATTGTAGCATTGCCCCATTTTGTTGTGCAGATATAAAGTCAAGGATCAAATTGAAGGGGCAGCTAAAGCTTTCTTAACAAAATAAAAAATTCCTTCAGATACAGTATCTGAAGAAGTGTGCATGCGCATGAAAGCTCATACCAATAACAAACTTAGTTGGTCTCTAAGGTGCTACTGGAAGGATTTTTTAAATTTTGTTTCGACTATGGCAGACCAACACGGCTATCTACCTGAGTAACTGAGGCTTTCTTAGTTGTGGTTGGACTCTGACTCCCAGCAGCCCCAGCCAGCATGGCCATTGATCAGGGAAGATGGGACTTGTAGCCCAAAAACATCTGGAGGACCTCACATTAACCATCCAGCAAATAATAATATTACACTGCCATCACATTTTCAGGGTGCAGGGTTGATAAAGGAACGTGAAAGCAAAATGAGTTTCCTTCATGCCTGCTGCACACACAAATCCTTGGGTTGGATTCCTTCCACATGTGCACATTGCGAAGCAGACGATTTTCTGCCCACCCCTATCCCCAGAGGGGATATTGTACAGGCAACCCCATTTTCCTTGTACAGATTGCTCCTTGTTGTATTGGGGCCAGCTGATGTGTTTGGAATGGAAATACGAAGTCACAAAAGTACTCTAATCGAACATACTTTCAGTTTAATCATGGATTGAAAAGAGTTGCCTTAAACCCAACTAACAGTGAATAGTGTTTGGGTTGGATTCTGATGAAGGACTTTCTTCTGATAGGTTGTAGTTGATTTCTCCCTTATAGTCACTGTCCCCCTCGAGATGAATGCCAACAGCATGATATTTTTTATGTTTTCAGGAACAGCCATTGGAAATCTTGACACAAAGCAACCTATTTCATCTCAGGTCAAGTAGTTTATCACATTCGCTTTTTATGTGTAATACTGCTTGCTGAGAAAGTGTCCACAACTTCCTCAGTTCACACAAATACTGCATTCATTTTGTAAAATTAAGATGGCACTTATCTCCCAGGCTCCTTTGGGTGTGTGTATTTATTTTTTTTTTAAATGTGGCTTGAGAAATCCTACAAATGTCAGTGAAAGCTAGATTGCCAAATGATTACAGTGGATTTATGGGAGAGCTTTAAGGGTTAGATTTATACAGCTGCTTGTTAAATATTTTTCATCAGTATTATTTGCTGATATTAACTACTCCTTGCATTGGCTTTAGCAAAGTAATTTAGCATATGCTTAATTCAGTGAGATTTTGCATCCAATTTGTAGTCAAGAATGGTAAAGAATATATGTTGGAAAAGTCATGTAGTTTATCCACATGGAAAGAGGTAAGTGTATGATATTGGCATTGGAATGGTCTTTCAAAAAGTTACTATTAGCATACATTTGGAATATAAAATAGAAATAATAGGCTTGGCTCAGAAGAAGGGAACTATTTTTTAATGTTTGATGTTTTACTATGTTTTATATATGCTGTAAGCAGCCCAGAGAGGCTGCGGTATAATTGTTGTTGTTGTTGTTGTTGGCAAGTACTGAATAAAAAGCTTGTAAACAAACCCAAGTTTTTAATCAGGAGGAAGTTACAGTAGCTTTGAAACTGCAAAGCTATACTGGAGAAGAGAGGCTAGGGAAGTCAACAGAAGGTTAATTTTAAAAGTACTGTACATCAGAATTTCATATGGAAAGAGTTAACCAGGCGTCCACATTACTCCTACTTTGAAAATTGCTGCTGTTCAAATTATTATCATTATCATCATTATTATTTGCATATTCTAATATTTTAAAATGCTATGGGTGGTTGTAACTGCCAAGTAAAACCTGCATATGTCTTAACTCTGAGAAATCACATCTTCCTGAAAGGTAACCAGATAGTCAGTATGAGATATTCTTGTTTCATAAGGAACATTTTTATTGCTTGTACTCAGTTCACTTGAAGCTTGGTGTCCTTATACTTGACCTGTTCCTTCTAATCCCTCACTGGGCTTCCAGTGCTGCATCAAGCAACTAAGAATCAGGAGACAGCCCCATACTTTCCTGCCTCCTTCAAATACATTTCCACCCCTGCCTCCAGTTTCACTGCCAAATGCACTCCCAGCCACGTTTTTTGAATTCTGTGTGGCTGCTCATCTGACAGCTGAAGGTTGGAAGGTTCCTGGCAGCCCTGCCAGCTTGGCTGCACAGTCCCTGTCCCTTCAGCATTGGTATTTACCAATCTCAAGGCAAGAAGAAAGCACTTAATCCAGTGTTTCTCAAACTTCAGTCTCCAGCTACACCTCCCTGCAGCAGGTCCTCCCTCTACCTGCTTTCACAAAACAAAACAGATATGTGCACAGATGCAAGGAGGTAGAGAACCAGAGTCATTATGAGGCAGGTGGGGGTAAACTTTGGCCCTCCAGATGTTGCTGAACTGTGCCTCACATCATCCCCAGAGAACATGGCCAAGGCTGATGGGAGTTGTTCTCCAACAACATCTGGAAGGTCAAAGGATCCCCATACATCTTCTAGTGATGTGGCAGCACTAGAAGAGGGGCACAGCAGCAGCAGCCTGTGGGGCTGTTTGGGTGAGACTGTGATGCTCTCCCACCTTTTGAACATGCCAGGGGCCAAGGCAGCAGGAGCTCAAGGTTGGCCCTGCAGCAGAGCCAATCCATTGCTCCCAAGCCTGCATCCATTCTGTGCCTGCCCCGTGCCGGCCTCCCACTTCCTTGCCCCCCTCTCAGTGAGTGGCAGTGAGCCAGAAAAGAACCTTAAAAACACGCATGAACAAGAGTTCCTTCTTGTGGTGCCATTTGACTGTGCGGTAAAAGCTGGAAGTTCCTTACCTTTATTCTGAAGATGGGAGGAGAAAACATGCTGCTCTGCATTACCTATCAATTAAGTATTTCTGGCTGTCATGTAATATGTTTTCTTCTGGCTACAACTGAACCGATGACTCGGGTAATGTGATCTGAGCTCTCAACATGCAACCTGAAAATTAATGTCACTTAGAAGTAAGGGTGACTCTCCATTGCCAAATCCGGGGGGAATGCAAAGGCGTTCCAGGGATCCTTCAGTGTTGGCTGACCCCAGCACCACAGGCACAGCAAGAGATAAACACGTTAAGGTGGATTAAGGACAGTTTTCGTTGGTAACTGTGGAGACCTCATCTTGCAAATTAGTGGCATGAAAAGAAATGCAAGGCAGCAGTGGGGGATTGAATATACGGGACACAAAAAATGCTTCTTAAAGTCAACAACCAGCATTAAATTAATAGTCATTCTTCATTCCTATAGGCAGAGCAATAAGTTCAGGAAGCAAACATTTATTTATTTATTTATTTATTTATTTATTTATTTATTTATTTATTTATGCTCTCTCAAGGACAGGGGAAGGAAACTTCTAGTCTGGCCCTCTAGGTCACACTGTCTGGTCCTTGGAACTTTTGCCAGGATGACACCACCACACCCACAGCCTCACCTTTCACTCTCTTTGGTTGTTTTTGCCTGGCCTGAATGTGCCATTGAATTCTAATAATGTTTCTTCCTTGCCTGGATAGAGAAGGGGTGTGTGAGTGTGTAGCCTGCTGCAGAATGGAAACGTTTGCATTTATTGCTTTGCCTACTTTTGCCTCCGGCCCCTGTAAAGTTGCCCTGAAGGGATTGTGGCCCTTGGAGTGAAAATATTCTCTGCTCAAGGAAGAAGCACAGTTTTTTTGTTTTAAAGAAAAGAACAGGTAGAGTTTTTTGCATGCTCAGCTTTGAATTTGTTAATAAAAAGAAATAATGTTCATCATACTCTACCAAGAGAGAAATCTGTGTGGGGAAGCAAGCTTCTATATGTGGATTCTGTCACTCAGTTGGGAACCACATGTGCACACTTAAAGCAGATGTATCATTTGTTGTGTTTTCACACTCCTCAGCTCCACACTAGCCTGGGCTTGACATCATTGTGGATGATGATGATGATTTATTTACCACCCTATACCCAACGCTGTGGGTTAAACCACAGAGCCTAGGACTTGCTGATCAGAAGGTCGGCGGTTCAAATCCCCGTGACGGGGTGAGCTCCCGTTGCTCTGTCCCTGCTCCTGCCAACCTAGCAGTTCGAAAGCACGTCAAAGTGCAAGTAGATAAATAGGTACCACTCTGGCAGGAAGGTAAACGGCATTTCCGTGCACTGCTCTGGTTCGCCAGAAGCGGCTTAGTCATGCTGGCCACATGACCCGGAAGCTGTAAACCGGCTCCCTCGGCTAATAAAGCGAGATGAGCGCCGCAACCCCAGAGTCGGTCACGACTGGACCTAATGGTCAGGGGTCCGTTTACCTTTACTACCCAAAGGTCTTAGGGCGGTTCACAGAATAAAATAAAATCAAAATATAAAACAATGCTGCCTTTGTTCCACTGGTTATTCTAGAAGCAAGAATCCAGGTTTCTTTTTGTGTAAACACTTATGTGTGTGTGCATAGGGACCTCTCCACATGCTGAGGTTTCCTGCTTTTGCAGGTTACACAGCCCAGCTGTGCAGACCCTTGGTGCATTCAGCTATATGGGGAGGGGGGTGTTCTACAGATGTGCTAATGAACATGGATTGATTAGAGCAGAGTTCACCATCACAGTAGCACTCTGCCCCCAAGCCATGCTCATTTTCCCCCTATTGAATGCTCGCAAGGCAATGTCAACCAAAAAAGAACTGTGGGGAAAAAATGCAGCAATATTGTTTAAATGCAACATTGCCATACTTAATCATGAAAAGTATGTGCTCTGTGGTATAGCATGAAAGCACAAAAAATCAGGTTCCATCATCGATTTCTGCTTTCAGTTTCTGCGCTTGTAATAAAAGAGTCTGCTGCATTGCACAAAGTCTTCCCTGGCAGTAGATCGCCTCGCTTCCAAGTGTTTGACAGACACTGCTGCTGTGTCATGGTTACAGAGCTTCACTGGCTGATGTTGAATGCTAGAAAAAGACTCCTGCAATGCCTTTTTCTCCTCCTTGCAGTTGTGTTAAGTAGGGTGGTCTGGTTTCTTGATACTGAGGAGCCTGTAATATGCACCAGGATCTCCTTAAAGTATTTCTATATCTTTGTGTTCTGGGGTAAAATCCAGAGCACAATGAGCAGAGAATCAGTGTTGTTTTCTTATTTCTCTCAGGGAGAAGGGCTATATTAGAATTTTTAAAGTTTGCAATCCCATTTTCAGCCTTAATTTGCCATTTCTAGGTGCAATAATATGTGCATTAAGTGTGGTATAAGGTCAGAACAGCATGACTGTCCCTTGCCCATGTTTTCACCTTCCTTCCTTTCTCATGGACAGGTTTACTTTACTGCGGTATTCAAAGTACTACCCTGGTGGAAGTGGACCAAGACAAATCCTCCAAGTGCCTTTTTGGCTCCACTAATGACAGGTCCAAACAAGCAAAAATTATTTTGTATCCTGTTCCCCCCCCCCAAAACCAGGAGTGTCTCCAGGTTTGGGAGGGGACCATAGCAACATGACCACTGAGGACGCCCACTTTCACCAGTGGGAACCTAGCAGAGTTCTGATTAGCGCTGGGCAGGGAACAATGATTTAAGTTTCCACAGTGCCCCGACATAACATTATTCTTTACCTTTCTTCTGGGAAACAGATCATTTGGCAAACTCCCTAACTGGGGACTCACAATTACATTTGCCTAACAGTGCATATACGTGCTCCTTGTGTAGTTGTGTTTTTTGAGCAATCTGCCCTTCAGTTATGTATGTGTGTGTGTGTGGGGGGGGTTAATAGCAACATTGTGAAATTAAGGCAGGTGTCACAAACACTTTTACGTTGTATTTTGTCTCAATGGGGAGGTTTATTGTTTTGTTTTTATTATGTATTTTGATCTTGTATTTTTATGCTGTGAACCACTATAAGATCTTTGGATGAAGGGCAATATACAAATCAGAAAGATAGAAAGGAAGGAAGGAAGGAAGGAAGGAAGGAAGGAAGGAAGGACGAACTTACTGGGACTTGCTTCTGAGTAAGCATGGATAGGATTGTGCTTCACATGGTGGTATACTTGGACAAATATTCTCTTGTCTGTGCATATAGCAATGAAGCACTTTGAAGCTTTCTGAGCGTTTATCTAAGTCTTTGATTGAGTAGCTGTGATACCATGGAAGAGATTAATGTTCTATCTGCTGGGAAATGAGGTCCATTTGACCAACATTATCCCTTTGTTAAGGAAGCAAAAGTCAGTTGGAGCTGGGAGAAAACCTGTCACACAGGGTTGTTTTTTGGGGGTGGGGGCGTTGCGTTCTGTTGATAGAAAAGGGCAATGAAGTGGAGCCCTAAGGAGTAATGGAGCACACAACACAAGCAAGCCAAGAAAATAGTGAATCTAACGCCTTAGGAGGCAAAATGGCTACAGAAGAGAAGACAGTAAGCTGTGCAGCTTGAACCTGAGGGAATGATGGGTGGAGGAGCAGAGGAATGAATCAGGGCTGGGAGTTGATGGTGGAAGGGATCAATGAGATTGGAGTGGCAAAAACCTTAAAGAAGAGCTGTGTGCTGTTGATCAAGGTGAGGGAAAAGAGATGGGAGATGCTTGTGGACAGCAACTATGAAGGGCAAGCTCAGGGCTGGGTTACCTTTAGCCACCCATTATTGGCTGTGCTTTCTGGGACTGATAAGACCTGGCGTCTAACAACAACTGGAATGTCACAGGTTCCCCATCCCTGGCTTAGATAGACACAGAAGGAAAGGACAAAGTTTGACCTAATCTGTTGTAATAACCAGCCAGATCTTAGTCTTTTGTTCTCTTGTGAATCAATTGAATCATGTGAAAAGCAACGTATATTACCATAACTAGGAATTTTGACAAGATTATAACGGGTGTGAGTAACTGTAGTGGTGGTAATTTTTTATCTTTTGGATTCTGTTTTTGTTTATCACTTATTTTTTACTGATCACTTATATTTCTACCTGGGGGAAAAATCATAGTTCTTTTTGGCTCAACTTAGACTGTGTTCTCACAAATTTTTGCTGCTCAGATCCACATTGAACCATTCAACTGGTTCAAACATTACTTCCATATATACACTTAATGCTGCCCCAATGTTGCCACGCTTCCTTGCTCCTTTTTTCCAGATGTCCACACATTAGCCAGATCTTTGCAGGTGCAGAACAGCTGTATGTGTATTGGTATCCTTTCAAATTTCCAGCTAAGGTACAGTAGTTGGGGGGCAATGACAGTGAGGTGCAACAGGGTTGAGGATATTTTGGGAAAGCATTGTTGAGAAATACTGGTCAAATATTTGATTATTGGCTTTCCATATGGTTACATGCACACCACAGCATGTGGTAAATAATCTGTATTAGAATAGGGATGCCCGAAATTAGGAGTGCAAATTATTGGAACTGAAACTTCAGTAACATAAATATGCAGGTTCTTTCTTTGGTCATACTTGTGCTGTGTACCTTTGAAGAAGAAATGTAATAGTATCCTCTTGCTTATTTTCACAGTCTGACAGCAATGCAAGCTTCCTCAGAGCTGCCAGGGCTGGCAATCTGGACAAAGTTGTGGAATATCTGAAGGGAGGAATAGACATCAATACATGTAATCAGGTAAGTGGCTCATGATTTACAGATTTTGGCATAATATGCAAGTGGGAGCTGCAGAAGGAACTGGGTAGAAGGAAGAAGAGAAGGAGTGTTTTTTCCTTTTGCTGGCCTTTCCTTCCCCCTACATTGAATTGAGTGCTGAAGGTGGGGTGGAAAGATATTCCTGTGAGACACACACACACACACACACACACACACACACACACACACACACTTTTCACTGTTTTATCTACAATTTTACTATGTGAACTGTTAAACAAACAAACAAAAAACAAACAAACAAATATAGTTTTTATTGATTTCCAACGTATAACAACAAAAAGAGAAAGAAAAAATCCCAATTTAGCTCAGTCTCCAGTCCAGGACAGATCAGTCTATTTAAGTTTGCCAAAGCCCAGTCTGTGATTTCAGTGGCTGCCATTATTCGTGGTTATCAGGAAAGGAACATTTAAATAGAGTCTCTGTATGTTTTGACTGCATAGTTAATGAGTACTATAAACATGATAAATAACAACAAAAGGTGGCCGCTCGCTTTCCATTTACATGGAGATTAATAGTAGATCAATAGCTCAGAATAGGCTTAAATTAGTTAACAGGCAGTTCTTCTTATAGAGAAATTTCCTTTTGACTCCATCCATATTCTGATCGCAAGCAAGATAGAACACCTGGGTCTCTCCTTAAAAAAAGATTTTAAGCATGTTAGCAACTTTGCATCCTGTGAGTCTTATCTCTCCTACAATTATAATCTCTTGATTTTGCAGAGGAAAGGTAAAAGCCAGAAGTCTCAAGATTATTATCATGCCTCCTGTACATCAGTAGGAAGGGAAGCGGTCAACTTTTATCAAATGCTTAAACAGCTCCTGTGATGTTTGCCCACTCAGATATTCTAGATTGAGAGATTCCCCCCCAACCCCGAATTTAATTCCCCTAGTAGATATGAACCTACTCCTCTTCAATCAAAATTTCAAGGGCAGTAGTATACATTGGCAGGGACATATTTTATTGATTTTTATGGAAATTGGAAAGCTTCTGTTTTGCTCTTGGACATGGTGTGTCCCTTTTGCTTTCTACAAATCAAGTGTATCTTCCTCCACAATGCACCTGGTGTTCAGTGATCCCAAGTGCGGAAGTCTGAGGTTTCCCTTGCTATTTCTGTGTAGCATCAGGCAGCAAGTAAACACTTCGTAGGGTATTTTTAGAGGGAAGCTCAATGTGTGTTGGAGCAGATAGAATCAAGTAGCTAATGGACATCTGCAGTAATCAGAACTGCTCAAATGCGAACTAGTTTGTTTCATACTGGGAACAGCCTCAGCGCATGCAAAGGATCATGCATTTGCTTCATTTCAAATCTATACAAGTGAATTGAGAAAGAAAAAATGTTTTTTTTAAAAAAAACACCCCGATATGGGGATTAACATCTTAAGTACCGTATTTTTTGTTCTATAGGATGCACCGGACCATAGGACGCACCTTGTTTTAGAGGGGGAGAACAAGAAAAAAAATTCTCCCCCTCTCTGCTCAGCACCCCTTCCCTGAAGCCTGGAGAGTGAGAGGGGTTGGTGCGCACAGACCCCTCTCGCTCTCCAGGCTTCAGCGGAAGCAACACATAGCCTCCGGAGTGTGGAAGGAGCGCTCCCTCTGCGCTTTGAAGGCTTCGCGTTGCTATCGCGGAAGCCAAGGAGCCTGCATTCGCTCCATAGGATGCACACACATTTCTCCTTAATTTTTGGAGGGGAAAAAGTACGTCCTATAGAGTGAAAAATACGGTATGTTTACGTGGGAGTAACCCATACAAAGTTCAGAGGGAGTTACTCCCCATTATTATGTTAGCTGATCTGAGATATTTTATCTGAAGAGAATTGTGTTTGCTATATGGATATGACATACCAGTACTATGATCAGATGAGCACTTGGTCAATGTTCTTTGTATGGATCAAACTGGATGTATGATCCATGTCATGCAGCAGCTTCCAACTATAATCATTCCAGAACAGCCACTTCAATTTTGCCAAGATGAAGCACTGTAGTGCAGCTGATGTGATGTTACTTTAGGCCTGGGACCAGGGGGTCAAAGCTGTATGCTCTCTTTGTCAAACACAATTTTTGATGTTCAGAGAGGATGAGTTGTTAAAATAATTGTTTGCCATGTTTAATGTGTTTTCACACTTTCTCAGTCTGTGTGTAAGTAGAAGTTATTGATGTGTATTCTGTCTAATTACATAATATCCACTTCCCCTCTGTACTCTAATCTATAATTCTCTAGTTACCAAATCTCACATTTGCTACATTTTTGATTGAAAATACATTTGAAAAAGGATATAATAGCAAATGTCTTGACTTTCCAAACAGCCTACTTGCTTTATCCTTAAAGCAAACAGATACTTCATTAATGCTTATTCTGAAGAAACACTAGGCAATCGTATATTCTTAGTTTTATTCTCATTTTCTTACAGATAATAGGATGGATGTAAAACAGGAATAGCTTTAAACAATTTCAGGGCTGCTTTGCCATGTGGGCTATGTTTTACCTCTACTGCCTGAGGCAATATGCCTCATTATTTATACCCTTTGTTGAGAATCACACTTGGGGATAGTCCTGTTTCACTAGGGTCCTGCCTATGTGCTTTCCATAAGTATATTGTACACTTCTTAATGGCTTCATGCTATGAAGTGGTTTTAAATTTGTTAAATAAAAAATAAAATAAAATCTGGTTAGCCACTCTGTGAATAGATTACTGGACTAAATGGGCCTCTGACCTGATCCAGCAGAGCTTTTCTTATGTTCGTATTCTTCCATGTGTCTGAAGAAAAACTGATCCTGCGGATAGCTCAGTCTGGACAGCATGAGACTCTTAATCTCAGGGTTGTGGGTTGAAGCCATACATTGGGCAAAAGATTTGGACTAGATGACTCTTGTGGTCCCTTCCAACTCTACAATTCTATGATTCTTCACTTTTTTGCTGTGATTGAAGGTATCTGATAAAATAGCATGGCATTTGTAAAATCTCAGATATGGATAGAGTAAGCCTTGATATAGGCTTTTTATCTAAACTAGCAACCTTATTTGCTGTTATTTTTTTTAATATGGGGAAGGGAATCCCTGGTTGTTTCTGCAAAGCACCGGTACCACTTTTCCTAGGTCACTCACAGAGCAGCGTGCCCTTGTAATTAAATTGCAAACTCCTCCCACATCTGATCACCTGAAGAACTGACATTGTTTACAGATGGAATTACTCCATGGCAACAGAGATGCTAGGAAATCATCACTGCTTGGTCATGATGCACTTGTCCTCACTTGGAACCACTTTCAACCATGGATTGAGTCCTGGGTTGTATAAACAAATACAGGGCTAAAGTTAGTTAAGAGGGTGCTGTATCTAAGATAAAAGTGACCACGTGAAAAAGCCTGCCATTAGCCAAACTCTGCTCTTTTCTTTTCTCTTCCTTCCATCATTTTCTCCTTCCCTTTCTGTAGGTTCATGGCACTTTTTTTTGTAGAATCTAGAGTGGGCTCTTCATTGAAAGGCTCACAGAACATTGAACCTTGTGTTCTGCTGCTGAAAGACTTTATTATTATTATTATTATGCCCAGACCTCCAGAATAGACCGGTGGATAATGGGGAAATCAACATGAGTCTTTCCCTCTGTGGTTTTCTGCTGCCTTGATCCATTTAATCAGATAAAACAGCATTTGGTTCCCAGCCAGCCTCTTTTCTAAATAGGTTGGATTGTGCCCAGCTGACCTTTTGCTGTTTCCACTGATCATTAAAACTGAATAGATCCTTTAATGTAATCTGTACAGTATTGTGTCAATTCATTTAATGCTGAATTCCAAGGTCTATAGTTGTAAGTAAATCTCCTAGATTTCCTGTTTTAGCCAGGTGTGCTAGTAAGGCATTTGGGAGATCCTAAGTAGGCTTACTTTATTTATTCGTACTTATTTATTAAAATATTTTATCCCATGTGGAGGTAGGTTTCCATAGAAATTAACTGGACCTACTTCAAAATAAATAAATATATTTTGAATATTTTAAAATATCTGTTTTTATTCATACTTCTATTGTTTTCTTTTATATTTTTCTGAACAGCTTAGATGTTTCCTTACAAACAAGGCTCATACTGACCAAAAAGAAGGCCTATTTGTTCCTATCCCTTTAACAATAGTTTAATTTTCAGAAATCAGCTGGTTAAGCTTTTGACAGCATGGGAATTATCACCTCCTAATGTATGTGCATTAAGCTGCATATATTACAGTGACCGGTTGACCAAGTGCAAGGAGATTGAGGATCCAGAATCCCTTAACATACTATGGCACCTAGAATTCTTTGAGGAAAGAAATGTACTTTATTGGGCTTTATAGTGTGCATGCAGCCTTTAGGCCTCTGCATGTATGGTGGAGTTATTCATTACTGGGAGTGGGGATTATTCAAATGATTTTTTGGAATAAAACTTTTGTTTGATCCAGAAGTGGTTATATTAGGATTTTGCAAGATCAAGCAGATAAAATAATAAACTTCTCTCACTTGGAATCTATTTATAGTAGCCAGAAAAACTATGACAAAGTTCTGGATATTTAGGTATATTCTGGGACAGTCAGAGTGGTTTACTGCTATATAAATAATGAAAGTAATAACAGTTGTTGGATATACTAAAGCCATTTCATTTTCATTGGGTGCGAATAAAGTGGCTGCTTTTGGCAGCTAGAATTTAAATATCCATGTTTGAGAAATTACCTGATTTCTTATTTGTTTACAAAGACCACCCCTTTAAGTCTGCGTATCTGATAGAGCAGGTGTTGGTTTATTTTAAGAATTGTTTATGTACTCTGCTGTAGAACTGAGTGGATAGTACCGTATTTTTCGCTCCATAAGACACACTTTCCCCTAAAAAGTAAGGGGAAATGTGTGTGCATCTTATGGAGTGAATGCAGGCTGCGCAGCTATCACTGAAGCTAGCACAGCAAGAGTGAGAGCTGCACAGTGCCTCTTGTTCTACTGGCTTCCCAGTGAAGTGGGAGGAGGAATGGAAGGGAGCCCTTCCGTTCCTCCTCCTGCTTCGCTGAAGAGGCGCTGCGCAGCTATCGCTGAAGCCAGCACAGCAAGAGCGAGAGCTGCGCAGCGCCTCTTGTTCTGCTGGCTTCAGCGATAGCTGCGCAGCTTGCTCTGGCTTTTCAGGGAGGTGGGAGAAAGGACGGAGGGCAGCCCGTAAACAATCCCTTCTCCCTCCTCCCGGAAAAGCCAACAAGAGCCACACCAAGCGAGCGTGTCTGCGGCTCTTGCTGGCTTTTCTTGTTTTCCTCCTCTAAAAACTAGATGCGTCTTATGGTCGGGTGCATCTTATAGAGCGAAAAATACGATGAATAGTTTTAACAAACAAATATGTGAAGTGGGCAAGCCAGGTAACTCTGAGCACAGGGAGGGCCAAGAAGACTTTTCAATACTTGAATGGACAGAAGTGAGAGAAACCCCATCCAATTCTTGTTTTATATACTGCACTCAGAGGTTTCTCTTCAAGTAGACTTTGGGAGGTTTAAATGAGGGTGCTACTATGTAGACTCCTTTGAACTTCCTGAAACCTACCCGTTTTGAGATCAGTACATCAGTGAGATCGGGAGAGGTCATAGAGATTAGAAATCTGTCCAGTCTTGTGTTTGCTAGGCAGCTTCCTTTGTGTCTCCCCCACACTCCTATGGGAAATGGGTGGGCAGAGGCTATGAGATTTCAAAGGTATCTCCTTCTGTGACTCAAAATTTCTTACTGTATTTGCAAATGTTGAGAGAAATGTGTAGGTGTTTGGGTGGTGGATGTAGTGGACAGCACGATCATGCATGCTTTGGATGTGGGACCCAGAGCTTCATATGTGAATGGGATGATACAACAGCCCAGTCTCTGACTGGCAGTGGCTGTTCCAGCTGAGGACTTTTTAGCTGCTGATGTCCGTGATTGCAGCTAAGATTTTCTGTATTCAGAGCCTGTCTATACCACTAGGGTTTACCCCTTTAAGAGGGGCCAAATGGGAGCTTGTGATTAATGTGAGGATTGTTATTTTTTCCTTGCAGAATGGACTCAATGCTCTACACCTGGCTGCCAAAGAAGGCCATGTGGGGCTGGTTCAGGAATTGCTGGAAAGAGGTTCTGCAGTGGACTCTGCTACTAAGGTAATATATTCACTGTATCATTATATATAAATGGTTTTGTGTGTGTGTATTTCACACACTGAAATAGAGCAAGGGAAGACAATGTGGTTGGACTACAGCTTTGATCAGTGACATGGTCAGGTTAGGGATGATGGGAGCTGTAGTACAGTAACATTTACTTATTTAGAGCATTTGTATCCAGCTCTTCAGCCAAAAAGGCTCCCAGAGTGGTTTGCAAACAGTCAATTAAAACAAGACAGTCTTTGTCTGAAGGCTTACAATCTAATATAAAAACACAATAGACAAGGGAAAGGGGGCAGGGAGAGGGGAAGAGACATTGTGAGAGCACCACAGCCATCTATGATTCTGTGATTCTATTCCTGAAACAGACTAATGATGAACATTATTTGTTTCAACTCTGCATTAAGATCCATTAGGCAGTGTTTCTGAAACATGTGCTGAAACTCCTGAGTATATGTCTCACACACCTTCCACCTGACAACAGCACTGTACTCTGTCCTTCCTCATTAACGTCGGCTGTGCCTGCCTCAAGAATGCAAGCACACACTTTCCATCGACCTCTGCAATCCCTACCAAACTCACACCAACCCTCCCTTGGTACACCTGTTGGCTTCAAAGTAAAAACACAGGAGAACTGAAGAACCTTCTCCTATACTATATAACCACAGAGATGAGAAAGTGTTGGATCCAGACTTGGTCTCCATGAACAGATGGGCTTTGGACTGATTGGAAGGTCACACGCCTGTTGTGTCCTCCTCATGCCACCCTGCCAACACCCCCCCCCCAAAATGCTCCTGGGTCTATGGCCCCAGCAACCCCCTCCCACACTATGCCCCTGCCTGGAGGGCCTCATTCTCCCAGCAGGTCTGTGGTTTCCTATGTAGACAATACTGGGGGCCAATGGTCTGACTGTATAAGGAGTTTCCTGTGTTCCCATGAAAACTGCTCCCTTGTCATGCAAGTAGAAAGTAATTTCATATTACTCCTTAGGATTTTTTCTGGTTGGGAATAATTTCCCCTTGTTGTCTTGGTGTTAATAGCTGGCAGCATGAGGCAAAACTAGTTGAAGGGATGCAGCTTTATTGCTTTGCTTGCCCTCCCTTCTATCCCTGTGAATATTCTAGAATTATCAGGTTTATCAAAATTGGTCTGCATAACCGAAGGGCAGTGCATAGCAAGAACATGGTGGTATTATATATATACCATGAGTCAAAGTATTTAAATAAGAGGTCCCCAAATTATGGATCTCTCTAGCTTAAAAAAAAAAAAGGCCAAAAACATTTCTCTCTAAGAAATCTTTGTGTAGCCTTAATCCTAGGAGGTTTATTATAAATGAAGAGAAAGTTATTGAATAGTTTTAATGTAAGAATGCTAAAGTTTCAACTGATGTTATGAATGTGAATGAGAATTGAAAGCTGCTTTGAACCCTGGGTTTTGGGCAAATCTGTTTATGAATGAATTATTATTACTATCATTATCTTTTATCAAACAGAAAGGCAATACTGCATTGCATATTGCATCCTTGGCTGGGCAGGCTGAAGTTGTCAAAGTTCTAGTGAAGG